ACAGCACTGTACAAAGAACAAGTACTTAGTAAAGTTTGAAGGCAGGTTTCTACATGAAAATTTCAGCACATGGTGGTAGCCATCTTTGCTCAAGTATAACTCTTCACAAAATATTTTCTGCTGACCTACTTGTACATAAAAATTAATGTAAATGGTATATATTTTTATTTGATCTAATCACAAGTACTCTAACTAAATAAAATGGGCATAAATGGCATTCAAATATTGATAAATCTTTTTTCCAGTAAGTGGCGTAAGTTACCCTGGTGGCCTAAGTAACCCTGAGTTACGTTAAGCCAAAGGACAAGAACCACAGTGAGTGAAATGTACATTCCAGCCAGGAGCCCCAATAGGCACCCTCCAAATTATTCATTGCGACAAGTGCAGTGTGGTAATAAATACTACATTTTATAAGACTATACGTTGTTATCACAGCAAGAATGATAAATTATCATAGAATCTGTCAACCAAACTCAAGACATGTATAGTTCAAGGGGATCATACTTATTTATAGTAACAACCGTCTCTGTCAAAGCAATTCATGACAAAGTTATTTATGGTAACAGTCTCTGTCAAAGCAAATCATGACAGTTTTTTATTATACTGATAACAGTCTCTGTCAAAACAAATCATGACAAGTTTTAAATTATACTGATAACAGTCTCTGTCAAAACAAATCATGACAGTTTTTTATTATACTGATAACAGTCTCTGTCAAAACAAATCATGACAGTTTTTAATTATACTGACAACAGTCTCTGTCAAAGCAAGTCATGACATAGTTATTCATAGTACGGTAGCTGTCTCTGTCAAAACAACTTATGACATAATTATTTATGGTAGCTGTCTCTGTCAGAGCAAATCATGACAGCTAATTCTGACAACAGTCTCTGTCAAAACAACTCATGAAATAGTTAATTATGGTAACAATCTCAGTCAGGAAAAGTTCCATTTGTCCTTTCAGTGACCACAATGTTCTGACCCCAGTCTGGTCCACACACTACTGACAACTGACTTGATTCAAACACTACCAAAAACACGGTCAGTACAAAGAAAGGACTCCCCTGGCCACACCCCCACATACCAGCACAAGCTGACAGCTCGCTGCCATAGAATTACAAAATTCTTTGTGACATTTTTGACCCTTTTATGGGTTACTAAGACTATGAGGTCAAAACCAAATGTTCTATCTGCTCTATCAAAATCATCAGATTATGCCGAGTCATTATCCAGATATTCAAAGAATTGCATTCGAAAAAGCTTGACATGTTGTGAAACTCAAAATTTTTAATGTCAAATTTCTTAAAAACTAGGTACTAAGCAAACAGAACTTTGTAATTCTAGGGTAGCGAGCTGACAACTATTATATAAAACCACTCCACATACACATTCCTTTTGGCCTCATTCACTGATGCGGAGTGTCTTAAGTTCACGGAATGTTTTAAGTTCACTGATACGGAATGCTTTTGCGTTCGCGGAATGTTGAAAGTTCACTGGTGCCCAATGTTTTATGTAGGGTTGGGTCGGGCTCGCAAAATTAGCGTCCGCGAGTAACGAACTACTCGCTGGCACTACCCGCAAACGAGAGGACGGGTAACGAACCGTCCGCTTGTGAAGAGTAGTTCGCTACTCGCTGCACATCAGAGAGACATTTAGCGAGCGAGCGGACGGGCAGACCGAGAGACTCAATGCAATCGAGCGGGCGGACGGACAGACGGGAGCGACTCCTTCCATTGCATACAACTTACAACCAC